TTCCAAAACTGATCTCTGTGTGGCAGGGACTATCCTAGGACAAATAGACATTGCCTGCTCTCAAGAAGCTCACATTCTGGTAGAGGTACACAGTGTCCACAGGGAATTGTGGTAGTGAAATAAATTGTGCAACATAAGCCTAGGGTACTAAGGGAGCACCTTACTTTGTTAAATGGGTGACAGGCTAGGCTATTCAACCTCAGATCATATACAGCTTTCTATATTTACAAACACCTGACTGCTAAATTATGATCATTTTATTCTGGTTAAGAATATCCAAGGCCGGGCGCGGTGGCTCACGCCTGTAATCCTAGCACTCTGGGAGGCCGAGGCAGGAGGATTGCTTGAGCTCAGGAGTTCGAGACCAGCCTGAGCAAGAGCAAGACCCTGTCTCTACTAAAAATAGAAAGAAATTAGCCAAACAACTAAAAATAGAAAAAATTAGCTGGGTATGATGGCTAATGCCTGTAGTACCAGCTACCCGGGAGGCTGAGGCAGGAGGATTACTTGAGCCCAGGAGTTTGAGGTTGCTGTGAGCGAGGCTGATGCCACAGCACTCTAGCCCAGGCAAGAGAGTGAGACACTGTCTCAAAAAAATAAAAAAAAAGAATATCCAAAAGGGCCAGCACAGTGACTCACGCCTATAATCCTAGCACTCTGGGAGGCTGAGGCCAGAAGATCGCTTGAGCTCAGGAGTTCGAGATCAGCTTGAGCAACAGCAAGACCCCATCTCTCCTAAAAACAGAAAAATTAGCTGGGCGTCTCAGGGTGCACCTGTAGTCCCAGCTACTTGGGAGGCTGAGGCGGGAAGATCGCCTCAGCCCAGGAGTTTGAGGTTGCAGTGAGCTACAATGATGCCACTGCACACTACCCGAGATGACAGAGTGAGACTGTCTCAAAAAAAAAAAAAAATGTCCAAAAGAACGTATTTTATAAAGATTTCCATCAAAAACAGAGTTAATGGAGTATAAAAGGCCAAACTCTGTTCTATCTAGACACCTTGGAAATCTGACATGTACCATCTTTAATTTTTGCCAAACTGGTGTTAAGAGTTGACTTATACAGAGGATATACCTTTCTTTTTTATACAATTTTGCAGCATCTTTAACTTCTCTAAAGACATGGTCTACTTGACGGGTCAACATATCATGCTTTAAACGCTCTAAGAGGTTAATCATGTCATCAAAGACAGAGCTCTCCATGGAGGCTAGTTGTCCCAGCTGCAATTTACTTAGAGTATTATTCTCTGCGAAGACCTCCAACGCTGCCTGTTGAAGTTGTAAAAAGAACTAAAAGCAAAAACATGTTAACATATTTATTAACATACTTCCTTTTTTAACAGCTTGAAATAGAATTCATATATCATACAAGTCACCCATTTAAAGTGTACAATTCAATGTCTTTTAGTACAGAGTTGTGCATCTACCACAATTTTAGAGCATTTTCATAACCCCCCTAAAAAACCTTCTCTTAACCCTCATCCCCAATACCTTTCCCACTGCCCCCAGCCCTAGGCAACCAATAATCTACTTTCTGTCCCTATGGATTTGCCTATTCTGGATATCTCACATAAATGGAATCATACAATGTGTGGTTCCTTGTGACTGGCTTTTTTCAATTTAGTATGTTTTCAAGGTCCGTCATGTTGTAACATGTATCAGTACTTAATTTCTTTTTATTGCCAAGTAATATTCCATTATATGGACATAACATATTTTATTTACCCATCCATCAGCTAATAGACATTCGGGTTATTTCCATTTTTTGTCTATTATGAATGATGCTACTGTGAACATTTGTGTACAAGTTTTTATGTGGATGTATATTTCATTTCTCTTGGTATATACCTAGGAGTGTAACTGCTAGATCATATGGTAATTCTATGCTTAACCATTTGAGGAACCATACCATTTTCCATAGCAACTGTACCATCTTACATTCCCACCAGCCATGATCAAATTTCTCCACATCAGCACTAATAATTGTTATTATCTATCTGTTTTATTATAGCCATCCTGGTTTGTATGAAGTAGTTTGCATTTTCCTGATGGTTAATATACCTCTTTAAGTACTCATTTTTTTCTACACACAGATAGTTATAGTAAACTTGGAATATATATGAGAATTAAAATGTCATTTTACAGTATTTTAGGTGTAATTAATATTATTCTTTCGGCCCTCCTGGAAAACAATGCTAAGGATAATTAGCAAAAGATTAAAAATAACCTAAATGTCCATTAATAGGGAACTGGTTAATTATGGTACTTCCATATAATAGAATATCTTGTAGCTTATTATTAAAAAGAATTAGACAACTCTATGTTCTGAAATGGAACAATCTCAAGATACATTGTTAACTAGAAAAAGCAAAGCAGAAGCGTTTGCATAGTGTGTTACCATATGTCTACAAACACACACCTGTGTTTATATAAATAGCTTTGGTAGGATATACAAAAAATTGATAAAAGTGGTTGGGCTTAGGCAGGATTAGAATTAAAACCTATTTTGACTATATACCATTTTGTATCACATACATAGATCACATATAAAATAAAAAATAAATATTTTATCTTTTACTTCCTATCTAAAGTAATTCCACACTTAACTAAATAGAAAAAAATGACACCATCAATGAACATTTAAGAGTAAGATTAACTATGAAGATTTGACCTTTTATTTCTCCAAAATACAATTATAGAGCACTAAATAAATCATTTTGTCAAGGTTATTTTTTTGACTAAAGCTCTGAATAGCATTAAGTAATAAACATATCATAACAAGCCAAGTTAAAGGCAAAGGCATAAAATATTTGGTTACCCTTGAAATGCTTCCTTAAGAATTTTCAATTGCTTGTGTTTTAAAGTTCTTGAAACACAACTCATTAAAAATTAATGAAGACTAAGAGCGTGGCACGGTGGGCCATGCCTGTAATCTCAGCACTTTGGGAGGCCAAGGTGGGAGGATCACGTGAGGCCAGAAGTTCAAGACCAGCCTGAGCAACATAGCAAGACCCCAACTCTACAAAAAATAGAAAAATTAGCCAGGCGTCATGGCACATGCCTATAATCCCACCTACTCGGGAGGCTGAGGCAGGAGGATCCCTTGAGCCCATAAGTTTGAAGTTGCAGTGAGCTATGATCACACCACTGCACTCTAGCCCCGGCAACACAGTGAGACCCTGTCTCAGAAAACAAACCCGAAACAAACAAAAAATTAATAAAGATCAAAAGCCATTTAGAATTCTCCCAAAGACTTCATGAACAATAAACAAAATACATAAAATCTGGTAGTCAATTTTTTTTTTATACATTTACTACTACAATTTACCCAACATGAACCTAGACCATGATTCATTCCCTTTCTCTCTCCGTATCTTTTTGTGTAGCAGTGGTATCATGGGCATCAACTGCTTTTATGAACATCTTTTCTCCTTCCTCGGATAAAGCATCCCAGTTTTCCTTTGGGGAACTCCTCTTCCCCACTCTGAGACAACTTGAGTCAGGTAGTGTTAGCCCTATTCTTTGGTGCCAGAGATGAACACTTAATTTCATAATACCATGCCTTGGCCACACTCATCATCATTCAGGGATAGACATGTGAGAGGCCACCTTGGTATTTCTGTTGAAACTATCAGGGAAGAAGCACTGTACTTTCAAGATTGCAGAAGGACCATGTGAGCCTGGAGCTACCGGTGACCACATGTCCAGAGCCTGCCTGAGAATGAAACCAGAAATGAACAACTTTAGACCAGCCATGCCTAATCCTTTCAGATTAGGAGCCCCACTCCCCAAGTTAGACCAGTTTCGATCAGGTTTTTGTCACCTACAACTAAAAAATTTTCAATTCTGAATGGCTGCATGTTTCAGGCTTGGCACAATCTGGCAATAGATAGACAATTAAGTTGAGAATCTGAAATGAATGGAAAATGAACTCTGTCCATTATTTTTTCTTTTTCTAATTATGTAATACAAGAGCTTTAATGACTTTTATGTAAAGCATTCATAGGTTGAAGAACTATGAGGATAATTAAAGGGCTTTTGATATTAAGACAGAATTTGCAGAATAACCATGCTAGGGAAAAAGAATTCATTCATAATTTAAAGAGTCAATTCTGAAATTTTGGTATTTCTCTGTTGACAGAAGGACCCAGATAATTCAGCATCAGATTATAAATTTTCTAAGGGTAGGGATGATGGCTAATTCATCTTTGTTAACAGACTACAGCACCAAGTAAAGTAGTTAATGATGTTCCATAAATAATTTCACTGAAGCTAAAAATCTGGCCCTGAATGACTCTCTTATTAATCATCTGGCACAAGCATCAAGAATGACAATTTATTTCATCCTATTGAAAAAGCTTAACAGAAAATGTAGCTTTGTGGGGGCTGAGAGAATAAAATACTTACTAAAATTAGAAACAAGACACATAAAAGTACAAAATGAATGAATGAATGTATACTGATTAGCTGACTTTATAAACACATTCATCATTATCATCTATATTATATTCATTTTATGAAATAATTTGTTTTATTTCTCTTGCTCAGCAGAATGACATTATGCACATGGATTTCAGTTAACATTTTTATAGAAAAAGCCTTAAATAATTACTAAGTCCTGGCCAGAGAGTACACAAGAATAAAAACAACAAAGGAATAAACTATGATTGTGTTTATAAGGTTTTATCTTATTTATATCCATTATTAGTATATTTTGGTGTTCTATTTATTTGGCTTATTAGCCTGAATTAAAATAAAGGCTTTTTTTGTTTTGCTTTTCTTTCACAGTAATATAAGTATTATGAGGAATACATTTTCTTTCATATAATGTTTTAGCAGTATACCATAAATTTTTGTTCTATATAGAACAAAATGCACTATATGATGCATTTGCAGTGTCCTACAATCTTTTGTCTTAAATTCATAATTTAAAATATGTCATGTTTTCTAAACTTCCTTCCTAATCCAGGCACTGAATATTTCAAATATGAAATATTTGAATGTATTTCATTCCTGCTTTTATTTTATTGCATGAAGATTTGATGATATACAGAAATTTTACGTTAATTTACATTGTGCGTATATGTGACTCATAAAGACACACATGAAAATTATTTTTCCTTAGTATACTATAGAATTTATCACCAATCAATCCTCAGCTGATCAATCTAATTATTTAACTCTATAATTTTTTAATTCTCATTTTACCTATCACATTTTAAGAGTGGTATTTTTAAGGCCTTAGTTAAAACTGTAGTTGTTTTATTGTTGTACTTTCTTTTCTATTTTCATTTTATGACACAATTATATAATATTTTACATGTATAATGTAACTTCATAGACATTATCCCATTTATTTAGCATAGTTAGGTTTTTCACAGTTTAATGTATATTTTACCATTTTCTGGTCATCCTAGTTTTCTGTTAATGTTTTCTGTCGTGAAATCTACTTTATGGGACATATTGGTGTAAATCCAAGCTGATTTCTGTGTCTTCACAGATGATCTTGGAACAGTGATTCCTAACCCAATGGCACCCTTTCCAAGAAGGGGGTCCTAGAGGCTCAGATCATTTTAATATCTAAAACATCTAAAGGAATTAATATGTGTCAAAGACACAAAGGCTAATGAGGTTTTTTTACTTTTGGTTGGAAGTATATATTGGAAAATCTGGTTACCAAAAGCCTCAACTGCCAAGATATTCCTTGAATTAATAAAGAGAGTAAAAATAAATTACTACTTAATAATTACAGTTAGGCAGATCAAATTTGTCAATAGAATCTGCATGAGGGCAGGCATGGTGCTCATGCCTGTAATACTAGCACTCTGGGAGGCTGAGGCAGGAGGATCACTTGAGGTCAGGAGTTCAAGACCAGCCTGAGCAAGAGTGAGACCCCGTCTCTACCAAAAATAGAAAAATTAACTGGGCGCACTGGCAAGCACCTGTGGTCCCAGCTACTCGGAAGGCCGAGGCAGAAGGATTGCTTGAGCCCAAGAGTTTGAGGTTATAGTGAGCTATGATGATGCCCATGGCACTCTACTCAGGGCAACAAAGTAAGACTCTGTCTCAAAAAAAAAAAAAAAAAAAAAAAGAATCTGCATGGAGAGAAGATCAGTAGAATCCTTGGAGGGAAAAGGCCTTATAGTACTTACTAGCTGAACCCAAGATTTTTTTTTTTTTTGAGACTGAGTCTGGCTCTGTCCCCCAGCCTAGAGTGCAGTGGCATCATCATAGCTCACTGCAACCTCCAATTCCTGGGCTCAAGCAATCCTCCTGCCTTAGCCTCCCGAGTAGCTGGGACTACAGGCGTGCACCACCATGCCTGGCTAATTTTTTCTATGTTTAGTAGAGACGGGGTCTCACTTCTGCTCAGACTAGTCTCGATCTCCTGATCTCAAGTGATCTTCCCACCTTGGCCTCCTAGAGTGCTAGAGCCACTGTACCCGGCCAGAACCCAAGAATTTGATTTTATAGATTTATTTAAATTATATCTTCCAATATAAGAAATCAATTAGTTTTGGGATGTAATCATGGGATTGTGACTATGTTTTTTTAAAAAAGAATTCTCAACTTTTAGAGATACATACTAGGATATTTACCATGAAATATTATACCTGAGTCCTGCTTCAAAATAATCAAATATGAGTGGTGGAAGAGAGGCTTAAATGAAACAAAATTGGTATACTAAGCTGGGTGATAGGCACACAGGCTTCATTTTCCTCTTCTATTTTACTCGTGTATACATTTGAAAATAAACTACATAAAATGTTAAATAATTTTTTAATGTGTGAAATAATTAAAACTTTAAAATAAATGTTTCTATTTTTGTGATTCTTCATAATTTGTCATGTTTTGAAGACATTCAAGAGGTATCAAAAATGTTATTCTTTTATTTTCCTTAAAGTCCTAGATTTTATTAATTTTGACATACATCATTAGTTAGTCTAAGCTTTTTCTGTGATGGGAATTACCATACATCAATATTTCCTGAGAACGAAGTCAAAAGAGGAAAAAGGTCCAAACTATTTCATGAAAGGTTTGCTTTCTTTTTCAATGATTAAGTACATTAAAATATCAGGATTATTTAACTATGAGATTTGATTGAGAAAAATGTATACTTTAATCACACTCCTAAGTTTGGCATCATTGTGATTCTAACATGTATATTTTGGCTTGCAGCAGATTCAACATTTCTAAAGGTAAAATAGTTGAAACTACTAACATATTACTTAATATAAAAGCACATTAACTCACAACATTGTCAGCCCAATCTGCTAGTACTGTTGAGATGTAGTTCACAGCATTAAGAATTGCACAGTATCGAAAGCCCAGGGAAGCTCTAGTCTCTTCTTTCATCACCTGCGTTAATCGTATCCTAAAATCGTCTACTAGGTCCTTTTGTAATTCCAGGAACTGCAACTTTCGGGAAGCTGTGGGAAGATTTTTATACCTGTCTGTGGAGAAAGTTAATAAAACATATGAAGGTTTTTGGTGCCTTTCATGATAAAGTTTTAAGTTTTCCCTAATGACTTCCTTTGGTGCTTTTATCAAAATCAATTGACCATTCAAGTATGGGTCTATTTCTAAACTCTCCAACGATATGGATTTCGCAAGTATAAATGTTTGTTAAAAAGTCATTGACCAGGCAAGCATGATGGCTCACGCCTATAATCCTAGCACTTTGGGAGGCCAAGGCAGGATTGCTTGAGGCCAGGAGTTTGAGAACAGCCTGAGTAACTTTCTACAAAAAACAGAAAAATTAGCTGGGCATGGTGGTGTGTGCCTGTAGTCCCAGCTACCCAGGAGGCTAAGGCAGGAGGATCACTTGAGCCCAGGAGTTTGAGATTGCACTGAGCTACGATGACACCACTGCACTCCAGCCGGGGCAACAGAGCAAGATCTTGTCTCAAAACAAACAAACAAAAACAACTCATTGAACTGTATACTTAAGATGTGTACATTACACTCTATGTAAATTATTCTTCAATTTTTTAAAAAGGCATATGAGAAAATTATATACAAAAATGACTTTGTTTCTTCAACAAATAAATGGCATTTTTGTTAAAATGAAGGAAGAAATTTTTTTTTTTTTTTTTTGAGACAGAGTCTCATTGTGTTGCCCGGGCTAGAGTGCCATGGCGTCATCCTAGCTCACAGAAACCTCAAAAGGAAGGAAGAAATTGAAGAGATCAAAAGAGATACACACTTAAGAATTTACAGCTGACATGGTAAGCTATCTGAAATGTTCTTTAAAATATTCCAGGATAAAAAAATTGGAGGCCGGGCACGGTGGCTCATGCCTGTAATCCTAGCACTCTGGGAGGCCAAGGCGGGTGGATCGCTCAAGGTCAGGAGTTCGAGACCAGCCTGAGCAAGAGCGAGACCCCGTCTCTACTAAAAATAGAAAGAAATTATTTGGACAACTAAAAATCTAAATAGAAAAAATTAGCCGGGCATGGTGGCGCATGTCTGTAGTCCCAGCTACTCGGGAGGCTGGGGTAGTAGGATTGCTTGAGCCCTGGAGTTTGAGGTTGCTGTGAGCTAGGCTGACGCCACGGCACTCTACTCCAGGCAACAGAGTGAGACTCTGTCTCAAAAAAAAAAAAAAAATTGGGGAGAAAAATATGTAACAAAAAAGGATAAGTTTTTTGAAACTTGGTAATGGGTACCTCAGTATTTATTTATTAGCCTACTTTTGTGTATGTTTGAAAATTATCCTAATAAAACGTTTTTAAAAGACAAATGAGTTTTTCTAAATTTTTTTGTTTTTAGTATTTTTCATATTTTTCTCACAGTAAAAAATATGGAATTATTTACTGACTAGGCTGGAAAGACACTTCTTCAGGTTACCATACAGGTCAAGAAATGAACAGGCCAGAGGAGTATGGAGGTTAAGAGGGCCAAGGACGCTGACAATGAGAGCCCGGTGGCATCTGGAGAGCCAGCAGGCCTACAGTAGGGCAATGTGGAGGGTTACAGACCAACCGGGGACAGAGGATGCTAAGCCACCCCCCAGTCAGAAAATCCCTGCACTAAAACAAGAGTTCCTATTACTACTCCAGTCCTTAAAATTGTTAATACTCTATTAATTTTACCCTCTTCTGCAATATTTGATAAGTCAAGGACAAGAAAATAATATTTAAAATTTAGGTCAATCATCACTTATTAAAGATACTTAAAAAGTTCAATGGCAAGAGAGTTCAAGTAATTAAATTCTTATTTAATTGTTTTTGTGTAGCAATTTAAGAATTTCTCCTTCATGTAAACCAATGTTTAAATTCTTATTTAAATTATTAAAAACCCCAAAGTTAGAATATTGTGCTAGATTTCTGCCAAAATAGAAACTGAATTTGAAGATATTATAATAACCACTATATAGTATTAACTGTTAAGCTACTTAAAAAAGTACCATGTGAAAAGTTGGTACTTTTAAAACAAATTCATATATATTTTTATATTCTCTAACCTGCTTCAGAACAAATTCATATCTTAAAAGACTTATATTTACCAGTTATAACCAAGAGTAGAGTCATAAAAGTTTCTGCGCAATCTGGAACTTTCATTTCATCCACATCAGTGATATCCTTATATTGGGATATCCAGGCAGCTTCTGATGAAAGCATTGAGTCCATTTTTTGAAGAGCAACTGATATGTAGAAAAAGAATTGTTTTAATTAAATAGTTATAGTCATTCTTAATTCTTCATCTTATAGTTTTTTAGAAATGATGACTTTTCTATAAAAAAGAAACCCACGGGTCGGGTGCAGTGGCTCACGCCTGTAATCCTACCACTCTGGGAGGCCGAGGCGGGAGGATTGCTTGAGCTCAGGAATTTGAGACCAGCCTAAGCAAGAGCTAGACCCTGACTCTACTAAAAATAGAAAAAATCAGCCAAGCGTCATGGTGTGCAACTGTAGACCGAGCTACTTGGAAGGCTGAGGCAGGAGGATCACTTGAGTCCAGGAGTTGGAGGTTGCTGTGAGCTAGGCTAATGCCACAGCAATCTACTCAGGACAATGAAGTGAGACTCTGTCTCGGGAAAAATAAAAATAAATAAACAAATAAATGCATAATCTCCCACTAGTTGCACTATATTTAATATGGCTTACTTTAGGGTTAAACAAGATACTTCCTTTTTTCCTCCCACCCAAATCTTCAAAATAGTTATGCTGACTAGACAAGCTACATCCAAAAAGACTCTACCAAGAACAGAAATACTACATAGTAAAATCTATAAAACAATTATACACCTTACTGGCTTGAATATTCTACTCTAGAAAGATGTGGAGTATAATTCCAGGAAAAACTGAAGTTTCATGTGAAGAAAAGAAAATAAGTAAACTCTGACCAAGAAAAAAATTTAGATGGCTCTAGTTTCTACCCAGAATGAGAGAAGAAAAACACCAAAAATTCATACACACAAAAACAGACATTTTTCCCTACCCTATGGCCACATTAGCACTTACATTTTCTCTCCACAGTCAACCATCTCTGAAAGCAGGTTTCCTCTGATAGAATATGCATACAATTAGCAAAAGTGCCAGGATAGCCATGAACAGTATGTAGTTCCCTTTCAAATAAGAGCACTTCATCCACCAAATGACAGAAGAGACTGTCATCATACAGCAGACAAGGAATATCGGTAGCTAATTTCTCAAGAACCAGCATCATAAGGCCTCGAGAAAATTCAAGCTAAAAGAAATACATAAAGGTGAGGTAAATAAATAACAAGTTATTCATGTACACATATAACTCTAAAACTGAAACACTTAGGACTGAGTCTCTTACCCTTGCATTTACTGAAGAGCCTACTTTGTCTAATATTGGCTGAATCTTCTCATCCAGAAACTGTGTATGGTTTCCAATCCACATAAGTATTTGAGCCAAGTACCATTCAGGCTAAGGAAAGAGGTAAAATAGTTTGAATTCTTAAGTCATTCCAAGTAGAAAGTTACAATTAAATAGCCCTACCTAATTGTACATATACAACACTTACAAAAATTAGTTGAAAGTTCCTGTATGTAAGAGCACAATTTCTACTCTGAATTTTAAACTCCTACAGGGTTTTAGAAAAATAAAAAATAAAAAAATAAACTCCTACAATGCTTAATAATCAAATGTTTCCCAATGTACTCCCAAAAAATTCCAATAATGTGGCTTAAGTCAATAAGCTCATAAGTTTACAATGCCATACATATTCAAAAGTGAGCAATTTTGTAATATGTAAAATTATGAGTATTACAAAGAACTGATGGCCTTTAAATTGCTTCTGTGAAATAGCATTCCAAAATAATATTTAAACATTACTTTCTTCTGCTTTTTCTTATTAAAAGGTAAATAAAGAAAAAAAATTTGACTAGTCTACATTACAGAAAATGCACATACCTTAAAACATGTGTAATTACAGAAAAGGAAACATAGGTATGCAGCATTTTAAATTGTCCCGAGATATGATTCTGCAAGCATTCCAAGTTTTGTTGGACAGGAATTCAAAACATTTACTGAATGGTAAATCCCTGTTGTGTGCTAGATACTGGGAATACAAAAATGAGTAAGGACAGCCTCTAATTTCAAGAGCTGCACTGTTTAGGCTTAATGACAAAGTGCTAGGTCAACTGGGACCACACTTTAAAAAGCAGTCAACATAACAATTTTTTTATCTCAAATTATTACTGCCTCTCTACAACTTTAGGTTTATTGCTTATTCTCACTTACTACTTGCTAAGTGGTTCTACTCTTCTTTCTGCCAACATTCCATCCAAAAAAGGGGAGATCCTTAATGTACAAAAGAACCAGAAATCCAATGTCACTGTGCTCCTTCCTGTACAAATATGTAGTAACTATCCCTTCATTCCTTTAAAGTTCTATGAAGCCTATAAATTCACTTATATATTACACATACAATACCTGGTGTAATCTGGTACTTAGTAACATTTAATTTAAAATACTTAGTGAACCCCTGTTAATGTGTACTACATTAGCTATAGCAAAACTCAAGGACAAACAAGGTGGTACCCACCCTCTAGCAATTTCCAAGATTATAATTCTCAAAAAATTCTATCAAATTTCACTTAAAACAAATGCCTATGAGTGTTTTTCAGGTCAAATTAAAGAAAAGTCTCAAAAATATGCCCAATATACATTATCCCTCAATTGGTGATAATTTCCTCAAAGCCATTCTCATCATTGATTCCCATAATCTTATTATCTAATTGTTATTTTTTTAGAGACAGAGTCTTGCTCTGTTGCCCAGGCTGGAGTGCAATGGTATGATCATAGCTCACAACAGCCTCCAGCTCAAGCCATCCTCCTGCCTCAGCTTCCCAAATAGCTAGGACTACAGCTACACACTACTACATCCAGCTAATTTTTTATTTTTTGTAGAGACGGGTCTCACTGTGTTGCCCAGGCTGGTCTTGAACTCCTGGCCTTAAGTGATCCTCCTAACTCAGGCTCCCAAAGTGCTGGGATTATAGACTTGAGCCTCCGAGCACTGCCCCATAATCTCTCTTGTACAGCAATAAATCGTTTTGGCATCAGCACATCTATTCAAAAGTTAATGCTCTACTATCTTTTGACTTTTATTTCTCTGATATTCTGATATTTATAAATCTGAAGTAGCAATTTGTACAGTGAAACACATGTGGATCCCCTTGTAAAAACTGCTACAGCAACAAAGACATAAAGTGTAACTATAATGTTTGTACCCTCACAAAACCCTGAAATAATAAATACATAAATAAATAAATAAATAAATAAAAAATTGCTACAGCAAATGCTACAGCACAATTAAGGGCAAACTTGGAAAAACTGGTCAGGCGATGTGTTAATAAGTAAACCAATTCCTACAACATATCAACATAAGTCCCCAGTTATATCTATAAAGGCCAGTGACAAAGCAGGAATTTAGCTCTTCAGAGAAAAAAACAGAAATGTGAATAAAGTAAGATTTTAACTTAAAACAGCAAAAATATAGAAATTTAAAATTTGCTATTAATAAAAACCAAGAATGAGAGTTGGCAAAGCACACCTTGCTTATAACATTAGTCTGCCGGTTCCCTCTGAAATGGTATCTGAACCTCTTCTGAAGGGGAGTCAGCATAATCTGGATGGGCAGGATGACAGAAGGGGATGCAGGAAGAGAGTATTTTTCTGGGAGTTGTTTTGGCTCAGTAAGTAATTCATCTCTGACATAGTCAAGTCAAGGAAAAAGAGTCAAAAGCACATGTGTGTGTGTATATATACGCACACTACACACACACACTATACACACATATGTATGTATACACACAATACATTTTTCCAACAAATGTATCAGATACTAAGTTAATTATAATGTAAATAATAGTATGTAATCTAACTTTATATTAAATATGAATTCAATTAAAAAACACAAAAAATGTTGTTAGAATTAATCTTTTTCCTAAAATAAAGCATAGTAATAAGGAAATAAATTCAAGTAACATTTGATTAAATGAACATTACATTACTAAGGGTTCCTCCCAACTACCTGTTCGTTCTGTTGTCCCGAGAGACTTACATGTGATATGAACTTGGGTCAGTTGTGCATCTCAAAACTCTTTCTCACAGCCCTCCCACCCACACGCAATTCACTCTGCAAGAGAACGATCCACCACTTAAGGGGCATTTACAGATCAGGTCCAAACCCAGGACTCCCGTTTGTCTTCTTGGCCACTTTCAAAAGTTTTACTCTCTAGCCACACATCTACTCTAGAAAGAAGGAATTTTAGTAAGTTTTCATCTCCAAGAAAGATACGAGGTTTGTAGTTTCAGAAGCTGACAAAATAGTGTCTCCAGGTTACTGTACATCTCAGGGGCACTGGCAGGTCGACTTAAGCCAACAGTTTGAGATTGAGGGGGTGCAATGAATGGCCAATGAAGCTGTGCTAAAATTTCTTCAAAATCACTGTAACAGAAAAGTAACATACACAGTTCAGTATAATATCACCAAATGGTCACCAAATATCCACTTGAAAGCAATTACCATAAAATATGGGTAAATTCCCTACCTTGTAAGTTTGTCCTTGAGAATTTTATGCCAGAATTTAACTGTGGCTCTCATGAAACCAAGAAGATGAGTACAGGATGATTCCTGAAGCTTGATGTCAAGTTCTGCCATAGACACTAGAGTAGAGGCTGCCTCTGGTACATTGTTGGTCATCAGATATTGCTGAATGTTATCGCTGCAAAACAAAGCAAAGCAAATTTTAAGGACACTTTGTTCTGAATAACTTCAAATTCAAGAAACTGCTTCTTCACGTTAAAAGTTACATCCAAGGAAGAATAAAGCACCAGCCTGAGGTGGCTTTTTTACTTGATACCCAAAGTTCTCTGGAAGCCTAGAGTCCTCGAATTCAACATCCTTCTAAGAGCAGCAGCCCATGTTCAGGACACCTTCCTGCACCTTTCCTTTCCCTTTCCTCCCAACAGAACAGACTTGTCCTATGTCATATTCCCTCAGGCAACACTCATTTCTGATAAATCTGCCTTTTACAGAAGTCTTCAGTATCTTAATTCAAGGGGATAATGTAGGTAGCATCTGGTAAGGTCAAAAATGATAATCTTCAATTTTTACCTACTTTGCCCAGAAGAATTTGATTTCCCTCTCGAAAGAAATATAATTCCAAAATAAATGTTGCATTATGTTAAAATAAAGACTACCATATTTAAGAAAAGTAAAAATGTTATGACAGAATTTAAAATGTACAAGTAACCACAGAATATAGGAGTACGGCTTTCTAGGGTGGAATGAAATAGATCTCCACGTAACACTAAAGCATGAATGACATTTAGATCATAGGAAAAACCATCCAGAGTGATACTGATGTACTGTAGTATTCAAGAAACAGAGCTAACATAAAGATGCTAATTCTAGCAAGAAGAAACCACTTTTTAAAATGAGAGAAAGTACTACAGAATAATAAACAGGCCATTAGAGGGAAATTTGGAAATGAAAATCTCAGCTCAAAAGAAAGCTAGAAATAGAGATGTTATCACAAAAGACCTAAGGGAAAGAACACATTATTAAAGACAGAGAAATAACTGTGTTCTACCTGATTATGAATTTGACTCTCATTTCTAATATGATTCCTTGGGCATATTTCTCTCTTAAACAATTCAGATATCAGAAAAGATTATCAATAACCATAGCCCTATTTTAGTTGATCTATTACTTTGACTACTGTAAGAGTGAAGCTTATAAACAACTTATTTTATTTAATAAAGCTATTAATATTGTCCTTTATCGGTATTTTCTTCCAGAGGCACAAGGAGAAATGAAATAAAATAAAGCAAGGTTTAAACTTCCTTCACGGTACATAATTTACCTAAATAAGAATAAGATGCTCTAAAAAGCTTAAGTCAGTTTCTGGAATCAGCTGAGCATAGTGGCTCACATCTATAATTCCAGCATTTGGGAGGCTGCGGTAGGAGGACTGCTTGAGGCCAGGAGTTTTTGAGACCAGCCTGGGCAATGTATCCAGACCCTGTCACTACAAAAAACAAAAATTTAAAAATTAGCTAGGCACGGTGGCACATGGTTGTAGTCCCAGCTACTTGGGAGGCTTAGGCAGGACGATTGCTTAAGTCCAGAAGTTTGAAGTTGCAGTGAGCTATGACAGCACCACTGCACGCCAGCCTGTGCGACATAGTGAGACCCTATCAATCAATCAATCAATGGAGAACTCCTCATATGCAAAACAAAGATCTCCATACTATACTGATATGTAAAATTCATTAAAAATTTGAGAAATAGGGCCGGGCGCGGCGGCTCATGCCTGTAATCCTAGCTCTCTGGGAGGCCGAGGCAGGCGGATTGTTTGAGCTCAGGAGTTCGAAACCAGCCTGAGCAGGAGCGAGACCCCGTCTCTACCAAAAATAGAAAGAAATTAGCCAAACAACTAAAAATGTATATAGAAAAAAAAATTAGCCAGGCATGGTGGCGCATGCCTGTAGTCCCAGCTATTTGGGAGGCTGAGGCAGGAGGATCACTTGAGCCAAGGAGTTTGAGGTTGCTGTGAGGTAGGCTGACGCCATGGCACTCTAGCCCGGGCAACAGAGTGAGAGTCTGTCTCAAAAAAAAAAAAAAATTTGAGAAACAGATGCAGGACAAAGGGATACATAACATATCCAAAACATACATAACATAACATTAAATATATTAATTGTAATACACTTGAAACAGGATATTAAGATGCTTGGGATGATTTTCCTCCTTCAGGTTTTCCAGACAATGTTAATGGTTGCTGACAGCCTTGCAGCAACAGTATTAAAACAACACAAGGATGGGATAGTACAATTTCAAGGGGCTGAGGACCATATCATAAAACCAAATAATCTGCCAGTTTAGGTGGAAAGGTTACTTTAGCTTGTCTGAAAGGCAGTATCGGATACTCATGATCAACCACCACTGATATTTATTCAATTCAAAAAGACCCCAGGTAAAGTCCTACTGTTTTTTTCCTACCCACAGGTAGCAGAACTCTGTTACTCATCTAAGAATACATACTGTGCAGCTCTTATTAGATGACTCCCACTGAAAATATTCAAATTATAAAGAAAGCAATGCATTTCATTAACTGATCACCTAAAAATTAAAATAAATAGGAATACCACACGGAGGGTTTGTTTTATTGACTTGGCATTATAAATAATAGTTTTTATCTTGTGTTCATAATATGAGACTTAACTTACTTAGATTACTTTCTTTCAAATGCAAATTAAGCTCCCTGAAAAAAGTTTACATTCATTCACAATAAAGGAAAAGAATCATTATCATAATGCTATTTTCTTAACAACTGCTAAAATTACATTATTATAATCTTTAATTAACTCAACTATTTCATGGCACACATGCACTAAGACAGAAGCCTCAAAGGAAAATAATAATTATGAGAACAAAGAAGCCCATTTTACCTTAGTTCTTCAATCTGTGAAATCCACTTAAGGTAAGCGAGATGCCGTTCGATCTCTTCAATTTGGTCAATCTTGGCCCCAAGTTCATCCATCCAGGGCTGTGCAGTCAGCAAGTGGCTGTTAATGGAGCTGAAGAGATGAGTTTCTTGCTCTAGAAACTGATTAAGGAATTGCTTTGCTTCTTCTGCATTTTTTAAGGCACTCTGAATTCTTTTAGGGATTTCTGATGAAATTGTAAATACCTAACCATACCAAAAAGAAAGAACAGCAGCAATCAGATAAAATTTTCATAACCTTATTAGTTTTCTTTCTCTCTCTCTCTCTTTCTTTCTGAGACAGTCACATTCTGTTGCCCCAGGTAGAGTACAGTGACATCATCATAGCTCACTGCAACCTCAAACTCCTGGTTTCAAGTGATCCTCCTGTCTCAGCCTCCTGAGTAGTTGGGACTATAAGCCCGTACCTCCAAGCCAGGCTAATTTTTTCTATTTTTGGTAGAGAGGGGTCTTGTTCTTGCTCAGGCTGGTCTTGAACTCCCGGCCTTAAGCAATCCTCCCACCTCGGCATCCCCAAATGCTAGGATTACAGGCATGAGCCACCATACCCAGCCCACAAACGTGCGTTTTAAAGGAACGAACTAGGCTGGGCACAGTGGCTCACGCCAGTAATCCTAGCACTCTGGGATGCGGAGGCAAGAAGATCACTTGAGACCAGGAATTCGAGACTAGCCTGAGCAAGAGCGAGATTCCATCTCTACAAAAAATAGAAAAATTAGCCAGATGTGGTGGGTAGCACATGCCTGTAGTCCCAGCTACTCCAGAGGCTGAAGCAGGAGAATCACTTGAGCCCAGGAGTTTTGAGGTTCCAGTGGGCTATGATGATGCCACTGCACTCTACCTGGGGTGACAGAGACTCTGTCTCAAAAAAAAAAAAAGAGAGAGAAATCTATATCTACAGGTATATACAGATAGGGAAACAAGTACTATTTAATATATACACAAATTGCAAAAAATTAAACTATGCATATTTTAAGCATATGTGTTCGTACATGCATAGAAAAAAATTTATATATCTGTATTTTATATATATTTTCCTATTTACATATAGTAAAATTTCTGTAAGGAATAAAAAAGAAAGTTATTTACTGGGGCAGTATGAAGAAAACAGAAGATTGGCGAACTATCATCAAATGCAAGAGAACAAGGGTCTAAACTAAGGTGGAGGTGGCAGGGATGGGAAAGAAGGGATGGCCACCAGGGATACTGTAGGAGGCAGAACTCAGATGACTTGGTGATGGGGTAGATGATGAGGAGGAACCTAGGACTCCTGGGTTTCAGGTCCGAGTGACAGGCAGACGGTGGTGACAATATTCAAGATAGGGAATCCTTTTAAGAAAAGGATCAGTACAGTTTTGGACATGCTGAATTTAAGGTTCAATATGGAATTTCAACAGAAGTTTCTGTGGTTATTAGGGAAAGAAGCCTGATTACAGTAGGTCAAAGAGTGAATGGCTAATTAGAAAGTAGAGACAGATAATAATGATGACTTTTTGAAGAAGCCTAACAGTCAAAGGAAAGAACACCTACTAAAAGATGAGGGGAAGTATTTCTTGTTTGTCTAGGTTTTATAAAAAAGACCTGTGTATGTCCACATGCCGAGGGGACAGGACTGTTTGAGGTGCACAGGGTAAAAGTCTAAGAGTAAAGCAAGTTCACAGAGAAGGCAGGTAAAGTCTGCCTTAGCTTGATCCTCTGCTGAATGAAGAGGTAAGAATGACTACAAATACGTTTGAGGAATGTGAGGGAGACTATTTAATAGATTCATGCTATTGAATTCATGCTAGGCCTCAATTTTTTTCTGTCTGGGAAAAAGAAAGGACAGAATGGCCAGGTCAGGTAGGTTTCCTGGAGAGAACATGGAAGAACAGCTGAGGGGAGTAGTAGAGGAGCCAACATTCCCATGCAAGGACTGCCAGCGGGGTTGAAGATTCAGCCACGGAGGCAGACCACATGCCTGGCTAGCCATCAATCTACCCAGCTGTTTGATTTCCCCCAACTGGGCCCACAACAACCTCCCTGTATGAGAGGAAAAGGCAGACAGACCCAGGCTAAACTTGGAGCCTAGTAATAGGTATAGTGGAAAGACAAGAGGATTTGAAGGACTAAGGTGAGGGGAATGGGAGAACATAAGACAACCGACAACCTGGGGATAAACACTCACATTCCCGCACAGTTTACTTAACCGAATTTCGTAGCTATATGATAAAAATCTTTGACAAACACAGTATTACAATTAAGGGGCCCACTTATTTTTTTTTTTAAGAATATATTTATTGTTTTTTTTAAGAATTAAGTAAAATGTTCATTGTAAAAAGAAAACCTGCAAATACACGAAAATATTTAAAAAATAAATCACCTCTTGAACAACCATCCAGAAATAACTATTATATGTCATATTTTTTTCATGTTTCTTCCCTGTGTGTGCGTTTACAACAATTTGAAATGATGATGTTAAAACATTTTTGTATGCCATGAAATTATTTACTTGTAAAAGCACTTTAAAAGTCACTGTATGAGGCCGGGCGCAGTGGCTCACGCCTGTAATCCTAGCTCTCTGGGAGGCCGAGGCGGGCGGATTGTTTGAGCTCAGGAGTTCGAAACCAGCCTGAGCAAGAGCGAGACCCCGTTTCTACTAAAAATAGAAAGAAATTAATTGGACAACTAAAAATATATAGAAAAAATTAGCCGGGCATGGTGGCGCATGCCTGTAGTCTCAGCTACTTGGGAGGCTGAGGCAGGAGGATCGCTTGAGCTCAGGAGTTTGAGGTTGCTGTGAGCTAGGACGATGCCACGGCACTCTAGCCTGGGCAACAGAGTGAGACTCTGTCTCAAAAAAAAAAAAAAAAAAGTCACTGTATGAAAAGCTACATAAAATGTTAGCTCTTATGTGTTCAAGACATCAATCTTATCAGTAGGAACTCTTTTACATAATTTGTAAAACAGGTCCTTAAAACCCATAAACAGTTTCAAATGATTAGATTATGTGTTATAATCTATACTTTTAAAATTCCATATACAGTAGTGACTATGTTCACATTATATTAATTATAATGAGTATGGTATTGATACTATTTCAGTGAATTTCAATACTTGCCTGTTCTTCTAATTGCATTTTACTTTCTGTCATCTGTTCTATGAGTTTATCAAGTTTCTTTAAAGATTTAAGGTCATTTCCAACTTCCTTTTCTATGAATGCAGACACATAAGAAGGGAGATCACCATTATCTGTACCTTCGCTGACTCGTTCACTTCCAACTAGAACTGCAATACTTATATCACCTAAAACAAAAGAATAACAATTACTCCACACCACTAAGTATTATGGAGTTAAATGAAATATAAAAGATATACAAGGCAGTATATCTACCTTCAAAAGTTAACCAAGAACATACCGTATACACACACACATAAAATATTCAAATGAATAAACTATAAAGCAATCCAACAATGAAGTACTACGAGATGCTTAAGAGCTGAGGAAATTCTGAGTGAAGTAAAAACTCCTGAAGTCTGACCTAGTAACCTCAGGTTTCAACAGATATTGGCATGGCAATGCATGATATTAATATCATTATAAAATTTGTAAGGAACCAGTTGGTATGGTCTAGAATAACACCAAAGGAAGATCCTTATTTTAAAACATTAAAAAAAAAAGTAGTATTGAAATATATGAAAAAAATCTGAAAAGGTGACCAATGAGTAAAAACTACTTCTTTTTTTTTTTTTTTTTAAGACAGAGTCTCACTGTGTTGCCAGGGCTAGAGTGCCGTGGTGTCATCCTAGCTCACAGCAACCTCAAACTCCTGAGCTCAAGCAATCCTTCTGCCTCAGCCTCCCAAGTAGCTGGGACTACAGGCGTGAGCCACCACGCCTGGCCAAAACTACTTCTTAAAGAGTAAAAAAGTGTCTGTACTCCCAGCTACTCAGGAGGGTGAGGCAGGAAGATTGCTTGAACCCAGGAGTTTGAGGATATAGTGTGCTATGATCATCGCTGTGATTAGCCACTGCACTCCAGCCTGGGCAATATAGTGAGACCCTGACTCAAAAAAAATAAAGAGTAACAAAGTTTTAAAAGTTTCAAATGCTATTGTACAAAGAGGTCTACGTCAGAAACAGGAAAAAAAAAAAAGAAAACACAAATTACTAGGGAAACGATCAAAATGACTGATGTAACCACAAAACTGTATAGTCTAAAGTGAGATTCTTTCCATGGCAAATAAACCAGACTTGGTCCAATTCACAGTGTACTTATTAAATGTGACAAAAACAGGAGATTTGGAACACTGAAGCCATTACTTGAGAAGAGTGGTAACAGAGACAACATTTATTAAGGATTTACTAAAACAAAACAAACAATGCCTACTGAAAGCAGGAATACCGTATAGCTTTGCTTTTATTCAATTTAGTATGTGAAATTTCCCAGAGTCCACTTTTAATTGTATGCTTGAAAATTCATCATTTCACAAGTCAGTTTCTCACTCTGCAAGAGTCTATGCCTTCTTCTATTACCCAGGATGCTTATTAATACTTAAGTAATTTAAATTACCTCTAATTCCTTGTGGAGTGAAGCAAGATTCAAATATATACATAAAAATTTTTCAGCTTTTGTTTAAACAAAATACTTAAGCAAACAAATTTCTAGTAAACACAATCTACTTCAAAGGCAATTAAATTATTTTTTACTTTCCTAAATTTGTGGACCAACAGTATGCTCTTTTCCAAGTGTCTCTAGTCACACTTTGCTGATCATCTGTGCCAGGGTGGCATTCTGTACTGTGCCCTGCACCTCAGAGAAACGCAGAGGTTCACTGCACCTTCTTAGCAAAGAGTGGAGGGGTGACATGACTCACAGCTGGCTGCCATCTTTCTCCTCCCACTCCACCCCCGTGTACTGAGATACATTGCCTCCCTTCCAAGTATCTGTTTCCATGCATAAGCTAGCCTCTTTTGATTATTCATGGTTTCCTTCTTCCTAGGCAAGTTTAGAAAACCTGAAGCTTGGTTCAACCTTAGTATAATGGTAGCTCCATTTCACTGTGTAGTCATTAAACATGCTAAAGTCTATTCAGTCCACAACTTGAATTATTCCACAAATAGAGACAAACTTCCCTAGATTTGAGTATTTCCTAGAGATTAAAAAAAAAAGTGTGTGGGCCGGGCGTGGTGGCTCATGCCTGTAATCCTAGCACTCTGGGAGGCCGAGGCGGGCGGATTGTTTGAGCTCAGGAGTTCGAGACCAGCCTGAGCAAGAGCGAGACCCCGTCTCTACTAAAATTAGAAAGAAATTAATTGGACAACTAAAAATATATAGAAAAAATTAGCCGGGCATGGTGGTGCATGCCTGTAGTCCCAGCTACTCGGGAGGCTGAGGCAGAAGGATCACTTGAGCCCAGGAGTTTGAGGCTGCTGTGAGCTAGGCTGATGCCACGGCACTCACTCTAGCCCAGGCAACAGAGTGAGACTCAATCTCAAAAAAAAAAAAAAAAGCATGTGCACGAGGGATAAAGCTAGGGGAACAATGGGGAGCTTCCTGAGGAACAACATTGAGTGGAATTCACCTCTGCTCTTCCTCAGAGCTGTCCCTTTTAGAACATGGATCTTTACCAAAAGGGCAGTTTTAAGAAAACAGCAATGAGAGAAAGGCAAGAGGGTATAATCAGCCTCATTATAAAACAATTGTCACTTTGGATAAAATGAAAATATTAATACATAAATAAACATATGCCTAGATGTAAATGCCAGATATTGTTAAATTATTTATGTAAAGATTAACGAAATATATAGCAGTGTGTTTGGTACTGGGTTTGTTTCTCCCTCTACCCCAAAAAACAAATTTTCCTTTGTTCTATTTCACTTATATGAATTAAAAGATTGTTCACATGCTATGAGAACCAGAAGCCCACTAATGGGTAGCAGAAGCAAAACTAATATAAGACTGTGCCTCAATTTCCCAACTAGAAAATAAATTACAACATTTGCCTCAGCCTACGCTTAAAGACTATAAATGAGACTAAAATGTTTACTGACTCTTAATCCAATACTCTTATTTTCTTGTTCTTCAAATATAAACAGGATTGGCTGGTCTGCATACAAACTTTATCAACATATTAATTATATTATTTAATGATAATTATTAATTATATTATATAATATTCATATATTAATATATAATAATCTACTATGAATAGAACTCACAATGTCTTCTTTTTAAATTTAGCTTAAATAAATAAAACAAGTGAGTTGTGTGGTATTAACTGCAAACAAACAGAGGTAGGAAATGTCTTGTGAATGCTAAGGATGTTGTACCTTAGGAAGTACACTTTTTAAAAAAAATTACACTCTTTACATGTAACCATTTAAATGCAGCAAAGTATTTTATTAGTCAATATTCTTCAAAATGACAATGGTGACTGGCAAGGTTTTCATGTCTTTCCTTTTCTGTTTTTTTATAAACAGCACTCCCAATTAAGAAGCAGTTGACTGAGCCACAGAAGGAAGGACAAGGACAAAGTCTTTGATATGACAATCTGCATCTATCATTTTATTAAAATGACAGCTCAGTAGGTATCAGACTTCCCAGGCATCTGAATGGAGCAAACGTGGAAAGATATAGGACACTCTCAGATCCTTCAAGGAAAAGGAGCTGAGTTGTGGCAGCTATGAATGGCAAGTACTATGGATGGCTTAGAGCTTTCTTTTGAGGTAGATTCTGTCAGTAGCCAATGTTAAGGGCAAGCCTTGCTCCTGAGGGCAACATGGTAAGGTGAGCACCCTTTCTCTTACCACCACTCAATCCTGTTTGCTATAATCTTGGAAGGTTGAATTTGGGAAGGATGGCTGGGTAGAAAGAGGTAAGGTGTTTGGAGCCTACTTACTTTTCTCCTCAATGTTCTTCCTTTCATCACCACTTTCCGAGCAGCACTGCAAGGAGACAGATGTGACAATCACATTAAGGATTGAAGTAGTATATGGAACTCATACGGGCCTCCCAAAGGGAGGACGGGACGGATCCCAGACGCCCCCCCGGGGCCTTCCTGAGTGTCCAGAGCCTTTTGAATCAGGGCCACCTCCCTGGTGCCACCATTGCCACCTTCGCAGGAGGTCTGCGTCGCCTCCCAAGGACCTAGTGCTACCTTGCCAGGCCGCCAGGGCCACCTCTCCAGAGAGATGTCATCTCGCCAGGGCTGCCAGAGCCGCCTCACTGGGACTACCTCCTTTAGGAAGCACTGCAAGGGACTCTACCCCGGGCCGCGGGAACCGGGAACCACCTTCACAAGCTTCCAGGGCCACGTCAGCAGGGCTATCTCCCCTGGGAGGTCTGTGCCACCTCACTGGGCCACCACTGTCCCATCCTGCCAGGGCCGCCTCACCGGGGCTGCCGGCGCTTCGCCGATCTCCTCGGCGGGTAGCATCTCGCCTCCGCGCGAGTCCCCGGCTCCATGCGCAGCCAGCGTGGCCTGCGGAGTCGGGCTCGGGCCAGCAACAGACCGCGGATCAGTCTTGGCGGCTGGAGGGCTGAGCGCCACCGCAACTTCCTGTCGTCGTCTCTCTAGGTTCTTCCTCTTGGGCCAGAGAGGCCCTGTCTGCGCAGCCGCCGGCCGTGCTCTGTTGCTCTCCCTGCTGGCCGGCTGTCGGGACGGCGGCTCAGGAAGCTCTCGGGAGACGACGGGAGGGACCGGGGTGGGAGGCCGTCCCTCTCAACCACGGTCAAGTCCCCTCCTCTTTATTGGCGCTCTTGATGGAATTTTAAGATATCCCTCCCTGCACACCATAAATTCAATATCAATCATTTAAATTTATATGTTAGATGATATCCAGATGTTCTGAGAGTGTGAGTGGGCTTGTTAACTAGGAGCTTCAATGTAGGGTTATTTGATTCAGCTATTTAGTTGGGGATTTCCAACGAATGTCAGTATCTTTAGAGCTTTCTTTTAAGGCTGGTCAGATTCCCTAGAGATGACCCTCCAATTTCCTGCTTGGAGGGTGCAGATGTGGTTGTGAGCCTTCTGGGAGCTGACTGGAGGAAGAGAACTCAGCATCTAATATGCATTTTCCCAGTGCAGACACCCCAAAATTCTTTTACAAGGGAGGAGAAATGGGAGTTACCTAGCAGCAAGGGGTAGGTAGATGATCCGGGGATTTGACAACCTTATAAACAAGCTAACATGGAAGGCCATACCATAGAGACCAAAACAGGGGAAAAAAGCAGCCCTGAGAAGAAACAAAAACCATTCACTGAAAATAAAACTCAAATATATATACATATGTATATATGTGTGTGTAGATATATAAAGAAAATTCAAATATATAAAGAAAATTCAAACATATATTTATATGTAGATATTTACATAAATATATAATTGATGTCGTAAGAGATGAGTTACCATTGCAAGCATAAAACAAGAAAAGGATACTATTTAAAAAGGAGCATTCAGAGACAAAAAATATGATAGCAGAAATGAAAAGTTCAAGGGTTGGAACATAAATGTTGAGAAATATCCTAGGGGAGTCTACGGCCACACCGCCCTGAACGCGCCCAATCCCGTCTGCCCTCGGTTAGTACTTGGATGGGAGAAATATCCTAGAGGAAAAAAAAGCAAGCTGACAAAGAAATGAAAAATAGGAAAGAAAAGATAATAAATTAGAGGGTCGCTCCAGGGGAGTCCAAAATATGAAAAACAAGGATTCCATTAGCCAGGCATGCGGCTGAGTGCCTGTAGTCCCAGCTACAGGGACTGAGGCTACAGGAGGCTGAGGCGGGATCTCTTGAGCCCAGGAGTTTGAGGCTGCTGTGAGCTAGGCTGACGCCACGGCACTCACTCTAGCCCGGGCAACACAGTGAGACTTTGTCTCAAAAAAAAAAAGAAAGCTCCAGAAGAGACTCCTTTAGAAAGATGAAACTGATAGAACACCTCATCTGTCTAAAATTCTGGAGGGGGAAGATTTAAACAATCATTAAGGAGTTTGGGCTTTACATAGCGATGAATAGTAAACCAAAATAAGATCATTATGAACTAGAGGAAAAACAAAAAGCTGTGTAGGAGAAGAGAAGTAATCATAGTTTCCTACTTTCCTAAGATGTGAATAATATTTACCTAAGATGTGAATAATGAAGTAAACACAAATCAATAAAAAAAAGTACAATATAACTATATCAGGCATGTGGAGGATGGGAAGTATGGTGGAGGAGGAGGAAGGAAGGGAAGCTAAACCTTCGTTTTACATTAAGTGAAGTCAATAGATAATGCCTAAAAGTAAAAAATCAAGAAATAGCAATAAAAGCACATTTATATAGAGAGATGAAAGTAAATACCAAAATAATCAGTTAAAAGAAGTGAAATGACTGCCTTTGAGAAGGTAGAAACACGTAAGGGGAGAAGAGGGGATACTGTCCCTGCTGTTTCCTTGCAAACCTTACAAAGTTTCTATAAAATTATTTGACTCTAAATCACAGACATGTATAACTCTGAAAAAAATTAAAAATAAAATTAAAGAAGAAAAAAGATTGCCCTAAACCCAATTTTTGCCTCTGAAAAATTCCCTTTCTGGTAAAGGAAATAGACATTGAATAAATAATTTAAGATTAAGTGTATCAGTTCAACAACAGAAATGTTTGCAATGACTGGAAGAACATAGAGAACAATGAACTGGAGTGTGAAGAAAAGCATCAAAGTTGGACAGAATATGAGGCAATAATAGGGATGAAAGAAGAGATAAATCGTGTGTGCTAGGCACTTACAATCCATGATGCTAGTGTGGAGTTAAAAGCAGGGTACTGTGCATTATACATAATATACATGTTAGGATGGAATTTTAAAGTTGATGAGAACATTCAACTGTTAAATGTTTATTAGAGCAAGTTAGAAGAGGGGTGAGGCTTTGAACGTCTGTGTTATTTTAAACATAAAAACCAATAAAGAGTTGCCTGTTTTGGAAAACAGAAAACTAAAAATATGTGTTTCACTTGGACCTTGTCTAAGGCAGCTTAGGCTGAAATGTAAAAAGGATAAGTTTTGACCATAAACTCAGCTAACGGCCAAAGAAATACGAAAAGTCTTTCCTCTAAATGTATTTGTGAGGAGTTGGGCCACAATCTCAGAAAAGATTTTTTTTTTCTTTTCTTTTCTTTTTTTTTTTTAAGACTAGTCAAGTGCAGTAGTGAGGAGGGGGGTTAAGTAGTAGAATAAGGAGTTCAATCTGTAACTAACTGTGAACAATCAAGTGAGATAACTCACTACCTTCGGACCGGCCAGAGAAGATTTTTTTTAAGAGCAGTTTTAGGTTACAGAAAAATTGAGAGGAAGGTACAGAGCTTTTCCCCTACCTCCATGCATGCATAACCTTCCCTATTATCAACATCCCCCACCAGAGTGGGGCATTCGTTACATCTGATGAACCTGTATTGACACATCATTATCATCCGGAGACCATACTTTACATCTGGGTTCACTCTCGATATTGTACATTCTATGCATTTGGACAAATGTATAATGACGTATCCACCATTTTTGGATCATACAGAGTGGTTTCACTGCTCTAAAATTCCTCTGTGCTCCACTCATTCATCCCTCCCTCCTTCCTGATACCTGGAAACCAATTTTATTACGGTCTATATAGTTTTACTTCTTTCACAATGTCATATAGCTGGAATCGTGCAGGATGTGATCTTTTCAGATTGGTTTCTTTCACTTAGTAATATGCATTTAAGTGTCCTCCATGTCTTTTCATGGCCTGCTAAGCTCCTTTCTTTCTGGTGCTGAATAATATTCTATTGTCTGGCTATACCACAATTTATTCATCCACCTACTGAAGGATATCTTGGTTCCTTCTAAGTTTTGGGAGTTATGAATAACGCTACTGTAAACATCTGTGTGCAGGTTTATATGTGGACATGTTTTCAACCCTTTTGGGTAAATCAAGGAAGCTTAAGCACTGAGTCATATGGTTTAAGAGTATGTTTAGTTTTGTACAAAACCACCAAACTGTCTTCCAAAGTAGCTGTACCACTTTGCATTCCTACCGGCAATGAATGAGAGTTCCTGTTGCTGCACATCCTCACCAGCATTCGGTGTTTGCAAATCAAAACAGCGATGAGATACCACTATGTAGGCCAAAATCTAGGACACTGAGAAGATACTTTTTAAAGTATACAAAAAAGTTAAGAGTTTAGGATTGAATTATTACTTTATTATTATGGTACAAATATTTGCATTTGCTATCACTGGGATATTAACCAATGAATTAACCATAGCCCAAAGACAAGTGATCTTAAAGAACTAAGTCCAGAAAAAAAAAATTGAGGTACTTACTTAACTGAGGTAAATAATCTCAGAGGAAAGCAGTATAAAACCCCACCACTCCAACAGAATTATCTGTGACTCTGTTGACCAGATCCCCACACTAAATCCACGTTATAATAACAAGTCTAGCAGAAATATACGGCCTTGAAATAACATTGGCTTTTCACTCAGGGTTGAAGTTTGGTAAAATATTAGATCTGAAAAACTTATTAGGGGCTTGGATTTGGGCAGTAAACGTGTGCTACTTGAAGAGCATGGGAAGAGGAATGAATTTTTTCTTTACACAGAAGCATAAACTATGACGAGTTCTCTTGAAACAGATCCTATTGGGGAGCTGTCAAGCAGAAAGGGTAAGAAGCGGGAAAATGGTGCTTCTGGATCCCCCACATGGAAGGAATCATACATGGACCAATATGGTCCCTGAAGTGATTCCCTTTTCATCATCATTAACTGTGGTGAAATAAGAAAGGGCCGCAACTATGCGGAAGGAATCCTTACTAGGACACAACTACTAGATAATATGTCAATCCCGGCTTTGGACATCCTAAAGGTCTAAAAGAACTCTTACAGGCCTGACAAAACTACCTTTTGTCCTACATGCCGGGACTAAGCGGCCACGACCCCGGGAGCCGGCATGAGCGCGCCCAGTGGGCGGGGCCTCTCCGTAGCCGGGGGCGGAGCGGGCGGCCGGGAGCGGGCTCCGCCCGGGGGAGGGGCTGCGGCTCCAGCGCGTCGCTGCGCCGCACGTGTGCGAGCCCGGCTGCCGGAGCGCAGCGGACCCCGCGCGGGCGCGTTGCCTATGCCTGGCCTCCCTCGCTGCAGGCTCCTTCGAGTGGCCCTCGCCGCCGCCGCCGCCCTCCTGCGCCCCGAGCGCAGCGCCGGCCTCCTAGCCGCCCGGCCCGCGCTGCGCCCCCAGGCTCCGGGTAAGTGCGTGGCCTCCTCACGGCTGCCCGGGCTCCGCGGCCAGCCCTCGGCCCGCCCCGGCCTCAGGGCCCCGCCCGGAGAGGATGTGGAGACTGGGAAGGCGGCCCGGCAGCGCTCTGAGCTCGCGGCGCCTCCATTCCGGGGAGAGCCCGCGCCCCTCCGCCCGGCCGGTCGCCAGGGTGCTGCTCCAGCGCGCTCTCCCTTTCCCCGCGGTGCTGTCTGCTCCTAGGTCTCTTTCCCTCTCGCCCCCTTTCTTTGCCCCGAACGCTCCCTAAATTCTTCTCCCTCGCAGACCGGCCGTTTCCCCGAGGCCCTGCACAGCTCTCCCAGCCGCTCTGCCGGTCTCCTGTGGGTCCAGCCCACGTGCTTTCGTCCTTGCAGTCCTGCATCACCACATTGTGAGCCTACTGCGTGCCAGGCAGGCCCTCAGGGACTCCTCGTTCTGTGTACTTGCCCAGAGTAAGAGCGAACAGTCTGGGGGCCAGGAGCCCTCTGCTCCGTGGTTGCTTGAGTGCCTGGACGTGCGGCTGTGCAGGCTGAAACTCATCCGCACCGAGTCCCGCCGTCAGCCCTGCACTGAAGGCTTTAAAAGTAGTATACATCTTCGTTGCCTGCCGAGAAGTAGGGCTGCCAGAGAGTTTAGTTTTTCAAATACTTGGTCCCGTTGTCAGACCACTTATTTTTCCATTCCAAAAATGTAAGATTACTGAGGGCTTTTTTTTTTTTCCATGCCGCTAATCTGTGAAATAGGCATGTCCTAGTGGCCTGGTGATACTTGACTATTGAGGGATCTGTTGAAAATCAGACTGTACTCCCTTTTTGAAAAGGGGAAGGATAGGCAAGTACTATGTTCAATCATTAGGAAAGTAGCCAACAGTCGTATTTATTAATTTAACAACCCCTTTTGAACATGTCTTTTGATAGAGGCTGGGGCAGTGCAGGTGCTGTATTAATGAAACAGCTTTCGCACCCAAATAGGAGAGAGAAATAACAATTCAGCTGCTCTTACAGTTGACTAAGTTTGCTCCTTCCTCAGGTCCTTTACACGTACTGTTGAGGCTCCCTGGAATTCTCCCCACACACCTTTTCTTGTCTGCTTCTTCCTTCATCTTTGGTCAAACGTTACCTCCTTAGAGAGGCTTAGCTAAAGAGCACCCTGCTTACTCTCAGCCCCTTTGCTTTATATCTTTGTAGCTTGCGTGTTCTGAGGTCAATTTAATTTTGTTCTCAGTTATATCCTCAAATAGAATGTAAGCTCTACAAGGGCAGGAAGTTTTCCTGTTTCCCCCAGTGCCTGCAACAGTGCCAGACACATAGGACTTGCTCAGTAAATATTTGTGGAATGAACAACTTTGAGAGACATCCATTTTGCATATCAGAATGCAGTGTGTGCTCTGCCCCAAAGAAAGTGCTCATTAATGTGAGAACTAGAGAGATTACTGCCAATTTGCAGAGGATGGAGAATAGATGTATTTAAAAAGACTGAGTCGTGCGGAGTTTTGAAATACAGGATTAAGACTAATGTGGCTCTTTTCGGATGTTCATTTTAGAGGAAATAATGTTAATGGACTGTTGTGAGTGTTGTATTAAAATTTGGAAATGCTAAACTCTACTTTTGTAGGTATAGAGGATTTTAAAAGCTGAGTTCATGAATCTAATATTTTAATGAAAAGGGTTTAAAAATATCATCAAAATTGTAATATTTCTATTCTCATTTGGCTCATTTGGAATGCAGAGGAAATAAAAACCGTTATTTTAGTATTCCCTCCAAAGAAATGTGTAGGAATTTTACATTCATGGAAAAGCATCAGTGGAGATTGTTGTCTTGGTTGCAGAATCAGGCTTCTGGTCTATAGAGATTTTACTTGACAGTTAAGGCACCAATCATTACTATAGTAATGTCACGGATAGCATATTTGTGCAGCATATTTCTTTTAAAAAATGTTTTTCAATACAAGAAAAAACTCATAAAGCTCCCCCTTCCCCTTTAAAGCCAGTCACTTTACATCTTCAAGATAGAATGCTTGGACATGTAGCTTTGGATTTTGCTGATTGCAAACCTGATTTCCTTAGGCCTGTCACCTTGGGCTGGGCAGGGTTCTTTTATCTTTCTGTTATTCCTTTGGGCCTCTTCCATGTTTATAAGATCACCTCTCTCTCCTCTTCTCCCTGCCCAATTTAAAAATTATATTCCGTTTTAGTCTTCCCTTTCCTATAGTTCCTGCTTATTTGAGTTCTGTCTCTACTAGTCCAGAAGTTTGAACAGCTATTCTAATAAATAATGCTCTCAGGTTCTGGGTCTACAGGATAGAACTTAGCAAAATATATATAAAGTGCTTTAAAATCATTGATGCTATGTATAAACGTTAATAATTAATGTCTCTGTGATAGGCCATTGACTTAAATGAAAAATATAATTTTATTTGAAATACAAAAGTGAATTTAGTTAATGAGCTTATCTTTGCAATTAGATATATCAAGAAAAAGAGATCATGCTGGGTGGGGTGGCTCTCACCTGTAATCTTAGCACTTTGGGAGGCCAAGGAAGGAGGATTGCTTGAGGCTGGGAGTTCAAGAGCAGCCTGAGCAAGACCCTGTCTCTACAAAAAAAAAAAAAAAAAAATTAGCTGAGCGTGGTGGCGTGCACCTGTAGTCCCAACTACTTGGGAGGCTGAGGCAGGAAGATCCCTTAAGTCCAGGAGTTTGAGATTGCAGTGAGCTATGATGACTCCACTGCACTCTAGCCTGAGCAACAGAGCCAGACTCTTGTCTCAGGAAAAGAAGGAAGGAAGGAAGGGAAGAAGGAAAGAGGGGAGGGAGGGAGAGGGAGGGAGGGAAAAGTGTCCACAAATATCAAGAAAAAGACTGCCAACCTAAAGACCTGTTTATGTAGTGCTGTTGACAGTATTTGAGAGTCTCTTAAAATTAAATGGTGTTTGAAGGAGAAAACCATGTTTAATCGTTAGCCCAGAAAACAAAAGGAGCTTAAGAAGCCTTTGTTTTTCTTCCCCAGATTCAGCAGTACAGTTCTGCTGTGTAAATCATCCAATAAATATTAATGACCAACAGTTGAATAGGAGGAGCTATTACAGACCTTTGACCAAGTCATGATATTTCAGTTTTACAGAGAAAGAAACTGAGGCTAAGAGAGGTTAAGTGACTCACTTAGTAAGTGGCAAAACCTAGATCTGGCTCCAAGGTTGTTGAGGAGGTGACTTGCATAAGGGTAGGTGGACGTTCTGCTGACCATAAAGTTCCTGAGTCAAGCTTTATGCATGGCTATTATCAGCCATGCTTTTCTCTCTGCTGAGTGTTCTAGCCTCTGGAAGGGTATCAGGATCTCCTGGTAGATCCTGTGATGCCAGCCAGGGACCTTATATGGTCACTGGGGAGCCATTGCAGGTTTTTTGGTAAGGGTATGTGATAACTATCTACAGGATATATCCACTTGGATGTTCCCCAAGTACCTATAACACCACGGGACTATTGGTGTGCTCATCTCCCACCACCTGCTCCTCTTCCTGGGTCCTCCATATCAGGAAGGACTGCACTGTCCTCTCAGGTCCCCAAGGCAGGAAACTTGAGTCATCTGGCAGTATTTCCTCTTTCCTCCCACATTTGTAACCCAGTCCTGTCCCTACCACTTCCTAAATGTTCTCAAATGTTCCCTCCATTCTGTCTCCCTTGCTTAATCCTTAGATTAGGGTGTACTAATTTCTTGCATAGATTACATCTGTACCCTCTTACCAGTCTTCTAGCCTAACTCCAGGTCCTCATCAAAGGGGTGCCACAAAATATTTCTAACTCACGAATCCAGTGGTGGTTTGGTTTTCAGGATGAAATGCCCTCTGTTTAGCCTGGTGTGGCGTCCGCCACCTCCCCACTCCAGACTCCACACTCTCCTTGTGTGTCTCACCCTCCACAATGGGTGATGAGCTCCTGGGGTTCTTCCAGTGCTCCATGCTCTCCCAGGCCTCCAGGCCTTTGCACATGCTGCACCCTCAACCCCAAACACCCTTCTCCCCCTTTTCCTTGGTCCTTGGTCCTCTTCTCTGGTCCTTAAAACTTGGCTCAGGTGTTTTAGTCTTCTGTTAGGTTTTCTCTAACACTGTCACCTCACCCCTCTGATGTCTTCTATGTGTTCCTGTAGTTCATGTATAAGCCCTGGTCCCTTTTTATCTCCTTCACCTGTGCAAAAGCTCTAAGGGCAGCGTTGTTGCTATAAAGTGAGAAATCGCATCAGCATGTCATAAACCAGCATTCTTTTTTAACTACACCTGCTCAGGACAAAGAATAAATGCTTTCTTATTGAATTAGAGATACTTTTCTATAACTGCAGTAGTCGTGATCTACTTCTATTTCAGATTCTTAGTTTCTTCCATTTTCTGTATTTAAATTTTTGTCTTTCAAAGGAAATTGATTTTACTGACATTTTTCTTTTTTTACAAAAGTTTATTCTTAAATGTACAATAGGCTCCAAAGACAACACTTTGTTCTAGCTAGAGGTGGCAAAAGATGGTATGACAGGGAATCCAGATGATTAAATAGGGATGGAATCAAGGGTCACCATTGCCTCAGACACGAGAAACAGCTTACTTTTTGCCAGATTGGTTAACTCCACCTGTGGCCAGGGGGCCCTTTCCCATTGGCTTTTAACTCCTGGAGTTTATTCTCCTGTTCGTGTTTCTGCTTGAAAGCCTCATCTTCCTAGCCCATCTCCTTGGCACCGATGGGCCACATGAGCATACTCGGCCTGCACCCAGCCCTGTCATCCAGCACACTTACCCCCTCATAATAAATCCATTTTGGATTTTACCTTTTACATGTACTTCTCTTTTCCTTTCCTTTTTGTTCTTGATTTTTGACAGTGAGGCAAGATTGAATATGGATTCTTAAAATTTAGTTCGTCATTATTCTTATTTTGCTGTAGATGCATGTGTAGGTGGGTTTCTTGTTAACCAGGCCTTGGAGAACTAGAATATTCATTTTCTGCTCATTTACATTCTTTCTAGATATGTTTACACAGTTCTTTACTATGTTAACTTTAGCATCTCCTATATAATTAATATAGAAAAAGCTTTTATCTTTATTTCACTAAGAGCATCAAATAAGGTCAGATTAGATACACACTTGAGGTCTTGGATACTGTTGTGTGTGGTTGATTGATTGGTTGTTTTAAGACAGGGTCTCACTCTGTCACCTGGGGACTAGAGTTCAGTGGCATGTTTGTAGTTCACTGCAGCCTCAAAGTCCTGGGCTCAAGTAATCCTCCTGCCTCAGCCTCCCCAGTAGCTGGGACTGTAGCAGGTGCCACCATGCCCAGCTAATTTTTCTATTTTTTTGTAGAGACATGGTCTCACTCTTGCTCAAGCTGGCCTTGAACACCTGACCTCAAACAATCCTCCTGCCTCAGCCTCCCAAAGCCCTGTATTTATTTTGATTGCCGTATGTTTATGCTCTCTCTAGCTGCTATCTACAGAGAAGGTGTGTCTGGCTTCTTAGGCTTTTGCTCAGTAAATTGTATATGGGCCATTTAAATGACAATCTAGTTTTTCTTGTTTATTTTTTTCATCGTGGTAAAATACATATAACAAAATGTACCATCTTAACCATTTTTAATTAATTAGTTTTTTAAGAGACAAGGTCTCACTATGTTGCCTAACCTAGAGTGTGGTAGCTATTTACAGGTGCAATGATAGCTCACTTGCAGCCTCGAACTCCTGGGCTCAAGCAGTCCTCCCACCTCAGCCTCCCAAGGAGCTGGGACTACAAACATGTGCCACCATACCCAGCTAAATTTTAAATTTTTTGTAGAGGTAGGGTCTCACTTTGTTGCCCAGGCTGGTCTCCAGCTCCTGGGGTCAAGCAGTCTTCCCACCTCAGTCTCTAAAAGTGCTAGGATTATAGGTGTGAGCCACTGCACTTGGCCCCCCCAACCCCCTTTTCGTTTTTACTATGGTGTGGGTAAATGTAGTTATATAATGTTTTATTTAATCAGTTTTTGAAAAGGGTGATACATATATATGAAAATTCAAATGATGCAACTATGGTATTGAGTGAGAATAGGAAGTCTACTACTGTCCCCAGCCACCAAGACCCTCACCTAGAAGAAACCATCTTTCCCACTCTAGTCAGCTGTTCCTGCATATTGTTCAGTTTATGCACCCATAATTTTTTATGTACCCTTAATTTTCTTGCTAATATAGAAACACTAGATGAGTATCTTTAGCGCTAAAACTGTAAGCACTTTCTTAATTCTTTTCTTAAGATAAATTCCTAGAAGTGGCATTCTGGGTCAAAGAGCATACATTTTTAAGGTTTTTGATGCACATTGTCAAATTCAATGCAGAAGGATTGTGCCAGCTTTCTATCCAACCAAAAGTATATGCCAGCATCAGGAAGAATGATTTTAATAAATGATTTTTAGGACCCTATAAACAGTGCTAACTGTGCCTCTGTTTGCTGAAACTGACTTCTTTATAGGTTATTGTTACTTCCTACTTTTTCCTCCTTCCTAAAAGGTTCTCTTAAATGTTTTCTTGGAGCCTTAAAGATGGAGATGACAGACATGACTGGTGTGTCACTGAAACGTGGGTCCCTTGTTGTGGAAGATAATGACAGTGGGGCCCCAGCTGAAGAGACGAAAAAACAGAAGATGTCAGAATGCAGCCCGGCCAGAGGTCTCGACTTGCTAGGGAACGACTCTGTACTCCACAGTGAAGATATGCCTGGGGCTCCTGAAGCTGTAAGTGCTGGGAGAGATGAAAAGAATTCTGAGGCTCAGTTGGAAGAGGAGGAGGAGGAAGATGGCCTTTCAGAGGAGGAGGAGGAGGAGGAAGCAGAGAGTTTTGCAGACATGATGAAGCACGGACTCACTGAACTTGATGTGGGCATCACCAAGTTCGTAAGTCCTCATCAAGGGTTCTCAGGAATCTTAAAAGAAAGGTTTGTGTAGTTTATATACGATGTTATTTTGATTGTGTTAGTTTTTTTTTTTCTTTACAAAGACATCAGCAGGATATTCTTCCACTTAGCTTTCTATTACCAAGGTTGTCCACACTAGTGGTCAAAAAGAAATAGGATAAAGAAAAGCTGCCTGAATGATTAAATGGATGAGTCTTGGATTTTTTAATATTTGAAAATGAATAGAAGTCATGGTTACTTCTTATCAAGGGAAGATCCCAGAATTGTTTAAGTAAAAATAATTTCTCAGTGGCATGCATTTGTTATTATGTGGATGGCTGCTGTTCATTTTGTTAAAATAAATTCATTTACATAGTTTCAGGTTTTCTCTAGAATTTGTTGTATAATCTTAAACTCTTTCGCCTATGGTAGAAGGTAGTCTTTGGAGCCAGGTGTGAATTCAGTTTAGCCACTTAATATAATAGTTACTTAATTCCTCTGAACCTCAGTATCTTTATCCAAAAAATGGATTATAACACCACATTGGGATTGTTGAGAGGATTTTAAATAATACCTGTAAAATATTTAACATAAAGATAAACTGCAGGGTAGTTCATCGTAGATTTACTGGGTTCTGATTTAATTAACCGTTTACTGTATTTTGTGATTCAGTTTAGTATGGACTATCTGTATAATCACAGGGTAATGTTAATAAGGTTTTGTTTATGCATTTCTCTGGAATAATATTCTAGAAGCTCAGAGGGTCTTTTTTTTAAGGTCTCATATAAAACCTGAGACAAGGTGTGGCTCAACATTCATTAAGAAACCAGAAAAGATAGCTCGGTGATTTTGCATTGAAGATTTTTTTTTAATTCCTTGTTTTGCACAATAGTAAGGCTTATCGTTGATAAACTTTATTCAATTAATAGGAAAAATATGTTAATTCTCTGAAAGTTCATGTTTTCTTTTCATCAGATACTCCGACTTCGTTGTTCACGAGATAGGAAAAGATGGACGGATCAGCCATTTGGATGACTTATCCGTTCCAGTGGATGAGGAGGTAGCTCTCTAGCAAAAGTCATCTTCTGTATAAAAACAGCATTTCCTAGAGATCATAGAAATATACAGCTTTAATAGCCTTGAATTCTGTATGTGATTCACTGTGAGTTCTCATGGTTATTTTAAAGGACCCTTCAGAAGATGCATTTACAGTTTTGACAGCTGAAGAAAAACAGCGACTGGAAGAGCTCCAGCTTTTTAAAAATAAGGAAACCAGTGTTGCTATCGAGGTAAATGGTCCAAAAATATATGAAAAGATTTTTAAGGTTTTCATTGCTTCATTTTGGGTGGGTGTTAATAAGTGTCCGTTGAAAAAATTACAATGCTTACCAAAAGGGTAACCTTGTCCTCTTGAATCTAAAAGAGCATCACACTAAAAAATGTTTTTATCAGGGGCAGGTAGCCAGTATCCCAGATAAAACTATGGTCCAAAAAAAGTTGCTTCTTTTTTTTTTTTTTTTTTTGAGACAGAGTCTTGCTCTGTTACTCTGAATAGAGTGCAGTGGTTTCTTTGTAGCTTACTGCAGCCTCAAACTCCTGGGCTCAAGCAGCCCTCCTGCCTCAGCCTCCTAAGTAGCTGGGACTACAGGCATGTGCTGCAATGCCCAGCTAATTTTTCTATTTTTAGTAGAGATGAGGTCTCTCTTTTGCTCAGGCTGGTCCCCAACTCCTGAGCTCAAGCAATACTTGAGCCTCGGCCTCCTAGAGTGCTAGGAGTACAGGCGTGACCCACGATGCCCGGCCAAAAAGTTACATTTTTGTATAAAAATTTTTTTCAGTGACCAAAAAACAAATCTCTTGTTTAGAACCACAGAGTGACAGTATACAGTGTCTACTGTAACAGGACCATTGCTGCTTGATGGTCAGGTGTGTGACCCTGTTCAGGCTCTGGCTTAAACAGCTTCTTCATCTCAGCTGGGGCTCTGGGAAGGGGAGGAAGTAGAAGAAGGGAGCATTTCTTTGCTTATCCTGGGTCTATTCTGCTATTCCAGAAAAGGAGAGCTCAGCTTCTAAATAGAACAGTAAATGCCGTTGTTAAAGCTTTTTGTTATGGAAATTTTATTCTTCTAGATTAGTGCTATTCAGTGGACTTATAAAGCAAGCCATATTTTTAATTTTATATTTTCTAGTAGCCACATTTTAAAAATAAAAAGAAAAGTTAGAATTAATTTTAATGTTCTATTTGCTCTAATACAAAATACTATCATTTCAATATGTAATCAGTGTTTTAAAAATTATTAATCAGGCCCGGCACGGTGGCTCACGCCTGTAATCCTAGCTCTCTGGGAGGCCGAGGCGGGCGGATTGTTTGAGCTCAGGAGTTCGAGATCAGCCTGAGCAAGAGCGAGACCCCGTCTCTACTAAAAATAGAAAAAAATTAATCGGACAACTAAAAATATGTAGAAAAAATTAGCCGGGCATGGTGGCGCGTGCCTGTAGTCCCAGCTACTCGGGAGGCTGAGGCAGGAGGATCGCTTGAGCCCAGGAGTTTGAGGTTGCTGTGAGCTAAGATGACGCCACGGCACTCTAGCCCGGGCAACACAGTGAGACTCTGTCTCAAAAAAAAAAAAAAAAATTATTAATCAGATGTTTTACATTCTTTTTTTCCCTAAGTCTGTAAACTCCAGTGTTATTTTACACTGATAGCGCATGTCAGTTCAAACTAGACACATTTCAAGTGCTCAGTTACCAAATGAGGTTATTGGCTACCATAGTGGACACAGCAGCTGTAGGTGGCATCTATAGCATAAAGAAAATGTGTTACAAGATTTTAAGAATCTTGCAGCATGAAATATTTAGAATTTTAAGTTAAATTCATTTTGCGCCAATTTACCCCACTTAGACTTTCCAAAAGTATGTGGTATTACAACTTTAGGGATCTTCAATTAATCTTCAACAATGTCAAGGAGCAAATTCCTAGGACTAGGTTTTGAGAGCAGTCCAGGAGGATGGTTCAGATTTCCCTTGCTTGTACATTGCAGAGTTTTATCATAATATACATTTTCCTACATGTGGCAAAATTAGCTGTCACCTTAAAAACTATGGTTATGCCATCTACTGAAAGTTTTTACTTTTAAAGGGCATAAACTATGGTCAAGTTTCCTCATTTATAAAATGAGAAGAACAGACTTTGTGAATTTTTGAGGTCTAAATATGTATTCATACACAGCAACTATGATTCTAACTCACTGCTGTCAGTAATTTCAGATCTAGATTCAC